TATACAGTATGTCCAAAATTATAATGAAAGATATTTTTATATGAAACAAATAAAGATACTTATTACAAATTTGAACTTAAAACAAATTCCATGAATTGAAAAAATATGGATAACCTATTCACAGGCGACAACCGAGTAATGTTACCACCTTTTTATACGGGGAAAGTTAGAAAGGATCTCATTCGCAATTTTTATCGTTATCCTGGATTTCATGTAATCCCTTATACTTGGGTGCCAATTGATGTTCAGTGCAGAATTTTAAAGTTGAGAGAAAGGCTTTTGGAGTGACAAATTTGTAGTTCAAGGGCGTAAAATTAAGAATATTGGCCCATAGAAACATAAACCTGAACCTATATATATATATATATATATATATATATATATATATATATATATATATATCATTACAGCTCTTCACAAATCTGCTGCTGAACAAAGTTCTCCCCCAAGAAATGCTACAAAGCACGGTCCTGAGTCACTTGCATCCATCGATCCTGCATCACTTACCTTAATAACTTTATTTCAAGGGCATACAATTAAGAATATTTTATATATATATATATATATATATATATATATATATAATATATATATATATATATTATATATATACAACAACACCTTTTTCCCCATCCACCATCGGTTGTCAGTTCTTTGAAATACATGGCCGGGCCATTACCACTTCAGCTTACTAATTCGTTGAGCTATGTCGGTCACTTTGGTTCTACTGCGGATATCCTCATTTCTAAGTTTATCACGCAGAGAAACCCCGAGCATAGCCCTTTTCATAGCTCGCTGAGCAACCTTGAGCGTCCTCATACGGCCAGCAGTGAAGATCCATAAGTCATCACTCACTAGTTGTACAATCTAGTTTTCAGGTTTTGAGGTATATCTGACGAGAAGATGTGTCGTAATTTCCTGAACGCTACCCAGCCGAGTTGAATCCGTCGATTGACCTCTCGGTCGAAGTTAGATCTACCTAGTCGGACTACTTGTCCCAGGTAAACGTACTCATCAACAAATTGGAGCTTAGTGCTCCCAACAACTATCGGCGTAGGTGTGAAATGAACTTTAAACATGATCTTTGTGTTGTCCATGTTGATCTTAAGACCTATCCGTTGGGAGACACTATTGAGGTCATTTAGCATAGTGATTAGGTCCTCCAGCGATTCTGCCATAAGGACTGTCAAAATGGCGACGATATAGTAGCGATTTATTGACCCTTTATTATTTGATTGACTGATGAAGAGTCGTTGCATTATGCGCGACGCACGTTTTACAATAAAGTGACCATTTTAAACGAATGGCCATAGTACCCTCACGTACTATTTACAATTTCTGTATGCGTGTGTTCGTAAATTTTTTCCTCCTAAGCGACTTTACCTGTTTTGTTGAAATTTTTATAGAGTACTTATGGAGTTACTCGGATGGTTCTTAGCTACAAATGAACCCAGTAGTAGCAGGGGTAGGTGTAAGTAGGTGACCCTATTTTCGTGATTCAGAAATCACCCGAGGACAACCGGGGCTGATCGCTAGCATTATTAGGAATTCCGTAAGCTACTACAGTGCATAATATTCTCACACTTTCCCGGGGCGAAGCGTAGTCAAGCACTCTTAACCCCGGCTCCGATACATTTTTTTTATTGCTATCTTCTCTGAAACTTATTGTTTGATAAAACTTAGCACCGATATTCTATGAAGTGTGAACAGTGTATACACAAATTTTTATGTCTCTAGCTTTTAAAATCATTAATCATATTTTTTCCTAAGTTACATATTACTACGCATATAGAAGATCTAGAAAGATAATCGGCGAGATGTAACCCGCGAGGAGGACGATGTCTCGGAAGTGATCCCGAGACATCGCGATAGCACTGCTAGGGTGCTGGGGGGCAGAAAGGGCTGCCCTAGGGACGTGATTCCAATATAGCAAAGCGAAAAAGGGGCCCCGATTGCATTCCGAATGGAGATCCCGGAACCCCTCATATATACGCTGTTGGTGATCACCGTAGGGTTTTGGCTGATAAGAATCCGGCATTAACCTTTCTGTTGCCCCAGCAGCAGAAGGTATCTGTTAGGATTTTCCCAAGATAAAAAAGGGCTGCAAAGACAATAAGGCCAAACCTGGTGCAGTGTGCTGTTGACTCCTTTAAATCATAAAGGACAATTGAAAAAGGCTTTGAAATTTATGGGGAACGCTTCAAATTCAAACTTAATATGAATTTGGATAGGTTCACCCTATCTTCCAGCCAGAAATTTTCGTCATACTTTAGTGTGCGGAAATCAGTCTGCAAAAATACTACGTCAACCATACACCAGACTTTAAACATTCTAAAATCTTAATCCGGGCTTTTGATCGTAAATAAGCTTCAGAAGCCCTGGAATTAGGTTAAAATAAACTGCTCATTCTGGCAATGGGTCTGACTGCACACTGTTGTCTTAAAAAGCAACAAGAAATTCAAATACATGCCGGTTTTGTTCCTTAACGGTAGAAACGCTTCTGCACATGCTTACTGATTGTGGACCCTTAATGCGCAAACGTAACACTCATCTAGGAAACTATGTAATTTGCCCTGAAGATGCGAAATTGCTTAAAGCTAAACAACTCCGTCTATTCCCAGAAGACATATGGATTAGCAGCGATCATAATAGATCTTTTATGTCGCAGTGATACTGGTATTTATAGACTTGCATCGCGACACGCACAAAAAAAAATAACTAATGCTTAATTCAATATAATATGATATCAAATATTCTACCCACTAGTGTTTAAATATAAATAAAAAGTAAACTTACAGCCTATATACGTCTCACTGCTGGGCATAGGCCTCCTCTCATTTCTGAGAGGGTTTTAGGGCAAGGAATAGTCCGCCGCGCTGCTCCAATGCGTGTTGGCGAACTTCACATGTTTTCGAAATATTTTTTTTCTTTTTTCTCAGACATGCAGGTTTCCTCACGATGTTTTCCTTCACCGCCGAGCACGTGGTAAATCAGCACTTAAAATTGCAATTAACAATTTCATTGGTGCCGGCAGGGATCGAACCCGGTTTGCTCGCGTATTGTCAAATTTACAGCGAGCGCTTACCATCTGAGCTACCACGGCTCTAAATATAAATAATTTTCTTAAAATAACTAAGCAACACTTTTGTCCGCAACACCATCATTTTTATATCAACGAAATAGCAAACGAGCATGCAACTCAACTGATGGTGAGCGTAGACTGGCACCCAAGCACAACTACAATACCAGGGGAATTGCAGGTGCGTTACTCTGCCTTTTTAAAAAGGACAGATTATTACATCGTAGTATTTATTGTTGCCGGCGGTTTTTTAACAATTACCAATTGACTTTAAAAATTGCCTATTCCTTTCTAAAAGGCTGTGTTGCAATGTTCATGGGCAGTAATGATCACTTACCATCAAAGGCGTAAGCTCGTTCGCTTCTTAATTGCCCCCTAATTGGCATTTCAATATAGCGACTACTGTGTATAATTATATTGGCGGTAACATTAATTATTGCTCTTTGGTGATAATAAACTCAGAATTTCAAATCTTTAGTTCAAGATAATTGTATACATTAATCCTATCCATTACACCTTATTCTATTTTGTTTAATGTCTTTTAGATTACCTTATAATTTTGTATTTACTTTTTTCGTTACTATTAACAAAATATGTTGCAAGTAAAATCAAGCTTTGGAACCGTATGAGCACAGAAGTAACAAAATATACTAAGTATTAGACAATATTATAAGTCATAATGATTTCTTATATTTACGCGAACACTATACATGATTAAAACTACTTTTACGGATTTTATTGCGTTTATTTTTACTTTTTATTTACTTTTATTTTTAATTCCCGACGTTTCAAACACCTGGCCGCCGAGCTTCAGCACGTCAAGCAAGTTCTGTACTACAACAAGCTTCGGGTCCCGCGCCTATGTCCCAGTGACCGAGTGAAGCCGGCCACAGTCGAGCGGGGGCCTGCTGTACTACCATATGTCAGAGGTGTCACAGACAAGATTGGCTATATCTTGAAGCGAGCTTCTATTAGAACATTCTACAAGCCGCCGAAGAAGATTAGTCAGTTCCTACAATCCGTCAAGTGTCATATTCCTCTACAAGATGCAGGAGTGTACAAGCTTGATTGTGAATGTAACCCGCGTAAAAGAACATATAGCTGATGTGAAGCATCAACGTTCCGGGAAGTCTGCAGTTTGTGATCATATCCTAGACGGACCCAACCATTACATCAGATTTGATAGACCACAAATCCTCGCGAAAGAACACCGATTCCTACCAAGGATGGTACGTGAGGCTATTGAAATTAAAAAACATCCTAATTTTAATAGAGAAGGAGGCTGGGTACTACCACCTGCTTGGGATCCTATAATCAATAAAATTAAAACTAAACCCAAGCATACCACTGCAAGACCTCAAGGCATAGTCAGTTCATTTTGCATAGATCGGACCATAAACAATAATTAAAAAAGCTGAAGGTACTTCGGGTTTAACAATGACATCGGGACGTCAGTCATCTCAGTCCCCCGTGACCATGGGTGCTGGAAAGCGCCCGAAACGTCGGGAATTAAAAATAAAAGTAAATAAAAAGTAAAAATAAACGTGATAAAATCCGTAAAAGTAGTTTTAATCAATATTATAAGTCTTTGACTAAAAATAAATTTTCTACTAGCGAATCGCCCCGATTTTACCTATGTGGGATGTAGAAAGTCATTAAGATTTTTAAAATAATCATCAAATACAATTTAGCCGTTCCAAAGGTTAGCCTGGACAGACAAAATGCATTTTTTTAAAATGTTTACGCAAATGACCCCCTCAGTTATTCCGACATCACAGACAGACACTTAATTTTTTATACGTACATATTAATATAATTCAGGCATTACAAGATTTACCATTTTCAACCACGAAAAGTTCAGAGATCAATTTATTACAGCCGAATTTGTGCTAATAATTTTACATAATTAGTTGATACTTACTGTTACATCTATAAAAGCATCCAATGATAAACACGCAGATTGCAAGAGCGAAGAAGTTTTGATTTAGGGCGTTGAAGATAGCCGACTCGAATGCGGACGCACGCCGGTGGTGCAGATCCCAACCCATCAGAACTGTTCCTAGGGCTATGGGTATCGAGGTGACAAACAGTAGCTTGAGCAGCTGCAACAAAGTTATAAAAAGATAAAAATGATTAAATACGTATAACCTAAAAAGGTAACTGAATAATTAAATTATATAGGTATGAACTAGGTCGTACAAATACTTTTCTGCCTATCACACTACCACCTTTCACTTAAGTTTTAAAAAAAAGACTGTAAATTTTATATTAAAATTAATTATTATTCCTGTTCATATTTTGTTGACGCTGTTGCATAAAAAGTACAAAGATTAGTCAGAGAAAACCGGGAAAAGATGAAAATAATACACAAAATATTAGTTAATCATCCAAGTTTATTTTATCACTTTCCAAGTATGCCCCTTCAGAAACGATACACTTTCTTGAACGAATAATCCAATCATCAAAAATATTTTAAACGCTTTTTCTGGAATCGAGTTCAGTTCTCGCTGCAAATTCTCCTTTATGTCTTCTTCTGAATGAAAACGGGTGCCATGAAATGGTAATTTGAGCTTACAAAATAGAAAGAAGTCGGCTGGAGCCATGTCTATCGAATAAAGTGGTTGCTCGGTGGTATTTGTTGAGTTTTTAGTCAAAAATTAGTTCACAATGATGGGCTTGCAAAGGCGCATTTATCGTGGTGCAAAATCCAAGAATTTTCTTTCCACTAATCTGGCTTTTTTCATCTAATATGCTGTCTTAAACGCCGCATAACGCTCAAAAAGTCAAAGAAAACAGTCAACATGACTTTGACTTTTGATCGAATTTTGAGTGGTTTTTACGGTTTCGGTTCAGTTGGAAGGCGCACACCGAAGCCTGGTGACCAGTATGCTTATCAAACTCGTAATCCTACGTCTCGTCACCAGTATAAATGCGTTTCATGCATTTTGGGTAGGAATTGATTCGTTCTAGCACGTCCTCAGCGACTCTTATTCGGTCGAGTTTTTGGAGAAAATTCAGGTCTTTAAGGACTAGCCGAGAGGCAACATGTTTCATACCTAGATGATTATTTAAAATGGTACGGATAGACTCGTCAGACACAAAAAGTTCGGCGGCTATCTCTCTCAAACTTGAATGAGGATTTTCAGTCAATTTTTCAGTTTCAGTTGCAAACGTTGATGGCCTACCAGAGCGAGGCAAATCTTCCATCACATCTCGACCGCTTTTAAACGCTTTATACCACTCATAAGCACGTGTTTTTGCTAAAGTCAATCCACCATAAGCCTTCAGTAAAGTTGTCAGTGACTCCGTTAGGAAATTCTATTGGCGATACAAAATTTAATACAAACTCTGTTTGATGATTTTTTCCATTGTGAAATTCGCAATACACACTACATATGATATAACTAAAAACAGCACTGTATTTAATCTAAATAACAGATGTAACTCGAACACTTCAAAATTGAAATTAGTTGTGCCAATCTAACAACTATAAAAAAATAATAATTTGGACACTTAAACAAATCATCCATTCCCAACAATTGTTTGACTGAATGTACATTCAGACTGCATCAGCTTAGAGAATAATAATACGTTTTTTTAGAACTAAGGTAAAAAAATAAGCACACAGTCTATGTTATGGTCAATATAATGGATAATCTAAATGTAGATGCGTTGTTACTACTAAAGACTAAAATAGCACGCTTACTTATCAATAAGAAGGGTCTCGGGTAGTGAACATTCACCATATGACCACAGCAGCACTACGCTGATATTTCATACTGGTATTCTATGAGGGAGTGGTCCATCCCTTATTGAGCCGACCCATTCTTACAACAACCATAATATAGCTATAGCGTGACTACCACGTTAAAAAATCATAATAACAAAAAGAGTTCTATTCCTGCCGGCACTATAGAAGTTGTTAGTTGCAATTTTAAGTGCTATTATGCCGCCTGCTTGACAAAAGAGGAAAATATCACGTAGGAACCTGTATATCTGAAAAAAAAAAAACAATTTAGTCAGCCAAGATGCATTGCGACAGCTCGGTGAGCTTCTGTCTCAAACACAAAAATAGTGAAGGAGGTGTATCAGGATCGGGATAAATCAAAGTTCTTAGTATCTGCCAACCTTTTTGAGTGACAGGCGTGATAGTTATGTAATGTAATGTTATTTTTTATAAGAAAACTGACCATATTATGTTGCAAAATGAAAGATTTTTTCAAAACTGGAACGTAAAAATTCTTTATTCTAAGAAAACCAGGTGTTTCGGTTACGATGCTTCATATGAATCAAATATATATTTTAGACGATGTGCTTACAATAGAATCCCTGAAGTTCCATTTCTCAGCTTGTGCTCTGTGATAAAAGTAAGCGGTTAGTACCCCCAGGTGATATCCGGCCCAGTTGCCTTGTGCTGACACGTATGCGTGGTAAAACGTGTCATTGTAACCGAAAATATCTCTTATTGATCTGAAATAAAGATTGCAAACTTAATATTTTCTGAGGCGAATAAATATTAAACGATTTCTTTAACTTGCAATATTCTTATGGGGTTTTTTCTATTGTTTAAATAAAACTAGCTTTTACTGATTTTATCGCGTATATTGACTTATTTTAGTGAGGTGTTCGACGTCCCAACGTTGTACGCAACCACGGCTAAAATCTACAAAGACTAGTTTTTTAAAAGAATAAGGGTGACGAACGAGTACACATTCCACCTGATGGTAAGTGGATGCTGTGGTCTATAGACATTTATTTTTATCCTCGATTAAGAATCAAAATGAAAGTGCGTTGTCACCCCTGAGTACTAAGATGGAATGCACCGTTTCCAGCAAAAACCCTTTTTTTATTGGAAACGTGGCATTCCATCTTAGTCTATCACTTTTCACTTACCATACGAAACACAGCAGTGTTAAGATGCTATGTTACGCTGGTATTCTGTGAGAGTGTGGTCCTTCCCCGTTCGAGGAGTAGTTTTATTTCTTGTGTAGTGTTCGCGTAAATATAACAAATTGTTATTTCTTTTGTTTTCTTCATAATAATATTACTATTATGCCACTACTAAAATGTATAAAACACTACTTATAGCAATCTTTTTATAGAATAGGGGTAACAAAACTACCTTCCTTTTCTGCGAGAGATTTCGCTGGGTTGTTTCCACCTTCTTATTACGTGCAAAGTAGCAGTGTTTCTGTATGAAGGGTGGAGAACCATGATATAGGTAGAGAGCGTATCCTTACAAGTTGTCAATCTTAGTGCTCAGAGTCTTCTTACCATCAGGCGGACTTTATGTTCGTTCTTCACTTCAGCTTTATAAAAAAAAGCGGCTCCGATGACAATTTGATCAATAACAACAATATCGATTGTGAATTTGTTGGTAAAAAAACCTACAAAAGCTTACTTTAGATTGACGACAGGTACAAATAATTAACGTACTACTGTCTAAAGAAGTAGTCAAGAGGCAATAGTAAAAAAGAGTACTTACTCGGGGAATATGCTGACTCTAATAGGCATGAGATCCATGAGGTAGCTTTGCAAGAATGGAATCAAGAGACTTATCGCCATCACTCCAGATAGAACGGGGATTCCAGATTTTGGCCATCGCCATATAACCAGAAGTACAACCAACGTTATTAGGAAGAGCTGAGTGTCCGTGCCGAGGTACCTATAGATTTAAATTAAAAAAATATAAAAAATCGCTTTCATTAAAATTTCAAGTTATCTAATTAAATATTTAAATAATGTTATTATTTAAACGTTAAATTTACTTGCTTAGTACATTTGTGGGTGAAGTTAGGAAAGGGAAAAATATCCACCTAAATATGGTAAGTATTTACGCCTACATTTCTATCATACCCATATCGTAGTATGTTGATAATGTATAGATGAATTCGATTACATTTATTTTATTCAAAGAACTAAACTCTATTCTAACAAACTCATTTCTAGTAGTGGACGGTTTGATGACGGCGAAAGTGAAATTACTACAGCTGACAGATACGCTTGGGATATCTAATATCTAACACATAATATATCACTTTCATATATATTATGTATATTTCAGGTATATTATTAATTTGCAGCAATGAGTGTGTTATTGCATTTTAATAGCCTTTATACTGGAACAGTAACTATGAAAGTTGATTATTGTCTAGGTTATCTACTACAACTACTACGACTAGCGTAGCTCTACTAGCGAGCCACGCTGCACCTATATTATAGTTGTAGCACGAAAGGGTCGGCTCAACCGAGGCAGGACCGCTCTCTCACATAATACCAGCGTAAAGTAGCAGCGTAATGCTGCTGTGTTTTGTACGATGAGTGTAGAGATCCGGAGACCCTTTATACTGGAATCGAGGCATTCCATCGTAGTCCTCAGGGGTTACAACGCATTGCACTTTGATTCTTGATTGAGGATAAATGTGTCTATTGGTCGCAGCATCCACTTAACATCAGGTGGACTGTGTACTCGTTTGTAACCCAATGCTATAAAAAAAGTGACACGCGATATGTATTTACTATACAGGTTGGTCCAAACAGTGAGGTTATAAATTTTTTTTTTGATTCCTCACACCTAGGGATATCCGAAAATACCCTATGTATGTTACGCGATTTTTTGTAGTTTTCGAGTTATGATTTTTTTTTACCCTTTTTTTTGAAAAATTCACCCTAAACAGCTTAACATTAAAAAAAATGTAATTGTGAAATTTTTTCCAAGTTTTTTTTTTGTAGCATGATCCCTATGAGTTGCCCTATTATGCATAAATAATTAGCTTCCTAACATTTACCGAAGATACAATAATTTTAAACGAAACTTAAAAATTTTCTGTCAGGAGAGTGGGGCTTGAATTTTCAAGATTAAATGAAAAATAGTAATAAATGATTTCATACTTTCTAATTAATTTAAAAACTTTGCAGTACCTTAATCTTTCATAATAACATTAAAAAAATGACACTTAATAGGCCAGTTTTTCTGTTACAGACTTCTGAAGTTACTCAGGAAGGAAACTACCTAAATAGTTAATTTGATTTAAAATATCTTTTTAGCAAAGAAAACTACTTATTGTTAAAACGTGGCATTTATTAAAGTATCATTTTACTACAAACTACATATTTTTTTTATTTCACTGAAACTAAATGATAGCACATTCAGTCACAAACACACAAAGGAATTTTAAACAAAGGCTCAGGTAAACATTCCTGCTTTGCGCTATATTTTGTTACCAGGCCGCACCCTGCGCCCCGCGCCACACCGACCGCGTCCCTTTTTCACCTCGCTCGGTCCCGCCAGTCGTTCACTGCTTTCCCGCGTGCAACCACTACTCACGTTTACGTTTATTTGGATCTCTTATTTGACTACCTTCGCTTTGTTTCCCGGATTCTTGATTTGCCTTACGATTGACCTGTGCTTGTTTTATGGACCTTGAGTTGCTTAGTGATTTGGATTACTTTTAGCAATGAGTTATTCTCTCAGTCAATACGCAGAGATGCACTATTTCTACGGCGTTGCTCAAGGAAACGGCGCATTAGCGGCACGGCTTTATCGAGAGCAACTAGAGCGGCGAGGAGAAGTGTTAGAGCATTACCCGGGCTACAGGGTTTTTAATAAGACCCACGAAACCCTGATGGATGGACGCGTTCCTGGGCGTAATCAATGTCGCGAGGGACTACCCAGAGTGGATCCAGAAAGAAGAGATGTAATCATTGAAGAAGTAGAAAGAGACCCTTCTACTAGTTCACGAGCGATTACGAGGACTGGAATCCCAAGGACTTCAGTTTTAAGAATACTGAAATCAGGTGAGTGCATTTTATTATTTTGTAGACCTCTTTATTCAAAATCCCAACACATTGCTGCACTGCCATTTCAAATCACACTCATTTAATTTACTGTGAATTGTCTATGTCTCATGTGTTGTGTGTGCGTGTAAAAGAGAGAGATGTAGAGACCCTTAAACAAGCGCTCGTAATTCAAAAATAGGCGCTAGGACGCCATTCTAGCGAATCCCAACTTTTAGTTTCACGTTCACGTGCTCTATTGGTACGTACCTCTAGTATTGTGTACAATGACAACCTACAATAAAAATACTAATCTTTTTTTCCAGAGGGATATCACGCGTTTCATATTCAGCGTGTTCAACAACTTAACGACGCAGACTATCCAAGGCGTGTTGCTTTCTGCCAAATAATGCTGGAAAGATCTGCGGAAGACCCGGATTTTTTTAACAAGATACTCTGGACGGAAGAATCCCGGTTTGAAAGGACTGGCGTCTTTAACATTCACAATCATCATAGCTGGGCCATTGAAAACCCAAAAAATGCAAGGCAGTCAAATTTTCAGAATAGATTTAGTATCAACATGTGGTCAGGAGTCATAAATGAAGACATGGTTGGGCCCTTTGAATTGTCGTCTAGGTTGAACGGGTCCCAGTACCTGAATTTTCTACAAAATAATTTAAATGGTTTATTGTTTGAAGTTAATTTACAAACGAGGAGGGATATGATATTTCAAAATGACGGTGCTCCTTGCCATTTTGAAAGACAAGTGAGGGAGCACCTCAACAGAACTTTCCCAGGAAGGTGGATTGGGCGTGCAGCGTCAATCGAATGGCCTGCACGCTCACCAGATTTAAACCCTATAGATTTTTTTATTTAGGGATTCTACAAAGAGATGGTGTATGCTAGAAAAATTAATTCGGAAAATGAATTAAGGGAAAAATTGAGACAGTGCGCAGAAAAAATCAAAGAAAATACGAATGCTTTTCGAAGACTAAAAGCAATTTCTTTAAGACGATGTTGACTGTATATCAAAGTTAATGGCCGCCATTTCGAAAATTTACATTAAATAAATTTATCTTAAATTATTTACTACTTTTATTATGAATCTTGAAATCATTTTTCCAGAACGTAGTAAAATGATACCTTGTTGTCTATAAATTTTAAACAATAAGTAAAGACACTTGATGTTATTTTTGCTAACCTGAAGCATTTACTATCTTAGTTTAGCCCTAGAAATGATAAAAAGATTTTTTAAATCAAATTAACTATTCAGGTAGTTTCCTGCCTGAGTGACTTCAGAAGTCTGTAAAAGAAAAACTGGCCTATTAAGTGTAATTTTTTTAATGTTATTATGAAAGATTAAGGTACTGACAAGTTTTTAAAATTAATTAGAAAGTATGAAATCATTCATTACTATTTTTCATTTAATGTTGAAAATTCAAGCCCCACTCTCCTGATAGAAAATTTTTAAGGTTCGATTAAAATTATTGTATTTTCGGTGAATGTTAGGAAGCTAATTATTTTATGTATAATAGGGCAACTCATAAGGATGCTACAAAACATGCTACAAACAAAAAACTTGGAAAAAATTTCACAATTACATTTTTTTTAATGTTAAGCTGTTTAGGGTGAATTTTTCAAAAAAAAAGGGTAAAAAAAATCATAACTCGAAAACTACAAAAAATCGCGTAACATACATAGGGTATTTTCGGATACCCCTAGGTGTGAGGAATCAAAAAAAATTTTATAACCTCACTGTTTGGACCACCATGTATGTATAGATTATAATAGAACAGAATGACATAGTTTTTATTCAAATTTGCTTACAGCAATACTTATTGAAAGTCATTTATCCTTTATCACTTATTCGGTAATAAATCTTTGTCCAAGGAATAACCAGCAGGCAACCTAGCAGGACTTGCTTTTTAAACATTAATATTTAATGTTGAACAATTAAATAATAACACATTTAAATAACGATATATCTTTCCTTAAATATAATATTTTAGTTAGGTTAAGGGTGATGAATGTTAATTCACAAAGTATAACGGGTTCGATTCCGCAATTCGACACCGTCGTGGACACATAACACAAGCATTATATTACGCTTACTGGAAGTAGTTAACAATAGTATTACTAATGTTTGTAGCGCTTCTAGTTAGTCTTTTGCATAATAGTTATAACATTTTCTAAACTTTAAACAGAGAAACTAACAAGTGGTACAAACCTCAATACTGCTATTAATATAACTTTAGAGTATTGATGACAACATTATTATATTGTTTAAGAAGCAGTTATTTTCTCACACTGATATTTCTAAGCAACTATGTTTTTAAAGGAACTCTTTTCGAGTCGTCACCCAAGTTTATGTTTTGCAATTCAGTGAAGAAACAAGCGTTCTTAGGACTATGCCGTAAAAATATGTTACTTAAAAATCATAACGTTAGGCGTATGATTAACTTTCTAGTGGGAAGTTATTGTAATGGGTCCGATGTTGCAAATTGGAAATTTTAACATATCTCCACGTTTCAAGGTCTTTACTCTTTAGAGTCGAATAGTACGATTTTTAAGAGGATGTCCGTTCACATGTACGCATGTATGTATGTTCGGATTAAATTTTCGCCTCGTGTATCTTGAGAACAAAGGGTGATATTGATATGGGACATGTTTCATTTAACGCATAATTATGTAACTTTGACCTTATTAAATTTTGAGTAAAATCCGTCAAGTCGTTTTTTGTGCCGAATGAAAAATTGTATAAAATATTAAAGCATATGATTTTTTTAATTCTTTCCAATGGGAAGTTAGTCGTGTGGACCTTTCGGGTCGCATCTAGACCGCTTTTATTATTTTTTTAATTTTCTTGTTGTGTGAATTGTATATATGTTA